GTTTTCTCTTTCTTCTTTTCCAAGAGATGAGCACTTGTTCACCATTTGTCCACCACCATCACAATGTGTGCCTTCCTTGCTCAATCCTTGGATGTGGACCAACCTAGCTCATTCACAACACTAGAGTAGAAGTTAGTCCACTTGGTTGTCTCAATTATCCAAAACCAAACATAGGATTTCACCCACCACCAAAACTAACAGTTACCCCCTTTTCTCAGCCATTGCGGGCGGACTGGATAGGTGGATGTCACACCAAACACCCCCACCGGACAGGCCTAATGGTCGAATTCCAACGTTCTTCAAACTAGCCGTTGCAAGGCGCGTATTCGGTGCCCTGGTCCGGCACACACCGGACATGTCCGGTGAGTTCAATGCTCAAAGTTGCACGTTTGCAGCCTCTCTGCTCGAATGGGATGGTGTCCCAGTCCGGTGCCTCACCAAACATGTCCAATGAGCACCCCAGGCTTTTTGCGCGCACTCTGTTAGCACCGGCCTTGTTCTGTGGGACCCAGTCTGGTGTACACCGGTCATACATGTGCGCAAGCTCTAAGTTTCAGACTTTCAGTAGGGGTCAACGCGTCCAGTGTAGGACCGGACACATCCAGTGCCTGCTCAACAGCAGCACCGAGAGCAATCCTTCACCAATTAGCAATTGTGCCAACTCACAAATATTTTTTCCAAACACTTAAGACCAAAGTTAGCATTTTTCAAGATGTTTTCCAAAACATTTTCACTTGCATCTCACCACGTCACTAAGTGCAATGCATATGCAAATGAGACTCACACTTAGTGGCACTAGATAACTGTTACGACTAAAAATTTCCCCTCTTTATACTATGGCTATCTATGCTAAACCGACTCTATTGCACATTGGTTGGCAAAAGCAAAGCCCTAACCAATACCTTTGCGTTGTGGCTTTCCTTTGCTCCATCTTCACTCCATTTGTTGAACATTTGCATGTATGTGATCTTGAACACCATCTTTATCACCTCCTATACCTTGTCCATCACCATCAGGTGGACCCTAGCTAATCATACTAAATGAAAACATTAGTACTTCCACATGGTAGGCACTCAGTTACCAAAACCAAACTAGGAATTTCAATGATAAAATCTATTTTGTTTGATGGTTGAACAGTAGGTGGTGCAGCGGCCTTCAAATGGTAGTAAAAAGCATTCTCATTGTTGGATCATCGTATGATCCAGTGGTGAAAATTGTGGGAATTCTCAACGCTAGTTTGAAGGTCCACTATGCCTCACCGACTTTTAAGCTGGTGATGAAACACTATCGTTGCCTGTTCTGACCAAACGGGCAGTGAAAATCATGCGAAAAATGAATTTATAGTAGCATGGGCCAAAAATGGCTTGACATGTAAATGACATAGGCCCATACATAGATTGCACGCCTAAGATGGGTTGTACCTTGAAAAATGGACCTTAAACAAAAAGTGTAGTGGTTATAAAATTGTTTGACGTGAGCTAGTGGAAAATGAATAGGGCTTGCAATTGGGATGGGCTCAAAAATTGGCTACTTTCTACATGGGTCTTGATGAACCACATGATATTTGTGACTTTTTCTAGCCCCACATATAATTTGCATGATATGTGGGCATTTGACAGGCCATAAGAAATTTGTTGCATTTTTCGTACCTAACAAGAAATCAAATGTCATAATTTAATGATGAAAGAATGATTGTCACAAAATCTATGGTCAAAAACATGTTTTGACGTGGAACATGATTTAACATGCACGAGAGGTGAAGATTGATTTTTCATCACACAAGCATCATAGATTTGGTAATGTCACATAATTTTCTAGTTTTAGTGGCATAAGCAGATTATCACAGGAGATCACATGTGTTCTTATGCATTAAAAATCATAATAGAGAACTTTGCAAACAAGGACTTGATCTAATAGGTGGCAAAGGAAACTAGTTTGATAGTAGAAGTATTTATAATATGAAGTTACTTTTTTGGGGGGGGGGTCTATTTTTAATTTTACCTAGGTATTTTGGCTATCTTAATATTCATTCTTTCAAGGACCTATTTATATACATCTTAAATTTCTTCTTCCACCACATTTTCTTTTGACCACCTTCTCATAACAAGTGGCTTTCTTCCATTCACAACCAAATGGCACGTGGTGGACATTCAAAGGTTCCTTAAGACGCATGTTTTCTTTTGTCCACCTTCTCATGACAAGTGGTTTCTTTTCAACCACAACCAAATGGCACATGGTGGACATGCAAAGGTTCCTTAAGATGTGTGCTTTGTTTTGTCCACCTTCATGACAAATGGCTTCTTTTTATTCACAACCAAATGGCATATGGCAGACATGCAAAGATTCCTTAAGACACGGGTAACTTCTCGTTCCACTGGATGGCTATAAATAAACGACTTCTGTTTACGAAGAGAACACTAGTGATAGTCATGGATGGAATTCAGGCCAACAATTATTGCCTTGTGCAGGAGGTATATTTTTTCCCTATCTATGTATCTTATGATGAATATGGGCACTAGAGATTAAGGTTTCTTCGATCTAAACAGTTGATTGTTGCGAGCAGCAAGATCGACGGAAACAACACAACTAACAAATAATGAGTTAGATTTGAGAACCTCACAAGATTATGATTGGAACATGATTATGGTTGCATATAGATCATAGGTTCAATTAAGATTTTATTAAGGTTATCTTTTTTCTTTATTTTAGTCCAAACAACCATAGGAAGTAAGCAGAACTGAACAAATATATTTTGCACGATTAGCCATGGATAGGCAACGTTTATTTAACAGAAGTAGTGAGCAAGGTTGGCTATCAGAGGAGTCCACGAGAAGAATTAGAGAGTCATGCACAGTTCATTATGTGAGTTGGAGTGCTTACATGTTTGATTTTAAGTTAAGCTGTCTCCATCCCTTTTCGTATTATGTAGAAAATAGAAGTCACATATAGATGTGTATCGTACATGTCTTTTACATGGAACGAAATATTTTTTTGGAACACCTTGGCGATATTGCTAGGCCATTATAATAATAGATTTGTTTGAAGCTTTTCTTCTCAACTGTGAGCAAACTTCATATTTGGTTAATATATTAGCTACATATTTTCTCATATAAAATCAGCATGCAGGAACAGAAAGCATCAAATGCGCACACCATGCATCATGCAGGCATGCGGCTCGCCATGCCACCCAAATCAAAGACGATCACCGGCGAATGAAAAGGTACCTTGCTCCGCTGGCCACGGAGAAAGGGCAAAGATCCGCTTGTTGTCATCATTTGCAGACTTGGATTTGATGACTACGATAGCTCTTGTAGAGTTCCTAGGTTAGTATCATCAATCTGAGGGCACCATGCCATGCGGCTAGCATTCGGCGGCGTGTCATTTCCAGCGCTGGTTGTAGTGATCCCAGCAGTGGAGGTGCCATCATGGTATGCCAGCCACGTGACATGTGCCCATGGACTCATGGTACTGAAGTAGGTACTCGGTCGGAGGCTGTACGTACTATGTAGTCAGCTAATCCAAGTCAGCTAATGCCGATGATATTACTTGGTCGTCGCCTGCAATAGTCAATCGCTGGTCTCGCATGGCAACCCCAAAGAACTCCATGATGCACGTGCATTGGTCCATGTCCTCCTTCGTGTTGCTGGTGATCCTAGAGTTTTGCGGCAAAGATTGGCGCATGATGCACGTCACGGTGGCCTTTTGGGATTATGTATTCTTCATCAGGTGTGCTTCTTTGCTTGCATATTTTTTGCGGGGATCTTTGCTAGCGTATAATACTACTAAAAATTTAGGTGCCTGATAATTACCAAGTATGAATATCTCTCTACTGGAATTGTACAAAAAAATGTTGAAACGAATGCACTGTCAACAATCTAGCTATGTGCTTCGTCATGGTCTTTCCAAAAGCATCTTATTCTGTGTTGAAGACTTGTAATATATTACAAATTTTCCACTTTGACTTCAAGAAAATACACCTTTTAGGTGACACACATTAATTTCATCTTGATTCTATTATCTCGCCCAACTTGCCAACTGCATCTTCTTTACTTAACAGATGCATCTATTCATGACTATTACAAATTATGGTCTTACTGGTTTTGCATTCTATTCTACCTTGCTTTTGACTACCAGAGAAACAAAGATCATATCGCTAATTCTGATGAGTTCCGTATCAAACTTCAAACCTCTAATCTAGATGGGAGCAAATAAACAGACCATGGACGCTAGCCAACAAACAATGCTCCAACCCAAGTAGTATTGTATTGGACCTGTGGGCTTTCTTAATCTAGCTAGCCATTTTGTCAGTATCATTTGTGCTTCATTCTCAGATCCTTTTTCTTGAAAGAAAAAGTACCCTCAATCTAAATAATCGTTTTGTTGGAAGTGCTAGTGATCTTCCCAAACCTTTTTAAAAAAAAAAAAGGCTTCTCAACCTAAGCCATTATTTTGTCTATATCCCTTTATCTTGTCCAATCTAACTACCCGTGACATATTGTTTAGTTTTGGAATCTTAACCACTATTGATGGTATTCCTCATCCTCCTAATATATACCGATAGGAAAAGTAACCTTCAGCATCATCATGGTGATTGTTTGCTTGAGCTCCAGACATGTGGTTGATGTGTTTGTTATTCTCAATGAACAAAATCTTTTTGTATCTATAACCGTATAATAAAGAAAGAGAAATTATGTGTCATATACATATTTGCATGTAGGTTAATCAAAACAAACGTGGATGACTGAAGGAAATTAAGAATTGTATATACCAACACCATATTGTATAGATCTGAATTCCGCGAGAATATGCACCAGGCATCTTCTGTTCCTAAGGTACATTACACAGAGCATGCTACAACCAAAACAGAGCGTGCTGAAACCATTCCTCCAGGTTTTCACTCAGCGCAAAATATGCTGGCCACTACATATATATACACCAAAATGCTGATTGCTAATTATAGTGAAAATCAACGGACCAATTCCTGGCTACCTTGTTCAGATTTACTTACGGGGTTTCACTTTCCTTGACGATCTTCTTGTAACCTGATCTGACTTATTGATAGCATTACTGTTGGGTTGGTCCAAAACTTGCTCACCGTTGCTTTCAGTGACAACTGTTTCTGGTTCAGCTGGCTCAACATCGGCATCTGGTTTCTTACTGCCACCACCATTTCCCCTTGCTTTTCTCGAAATGGCACCCACGGTATCTTTGTTTTGTTGTCCCCTGGCAGCCCTGGAGGTTGAGGCTCGCTTTTTTGGCTTCAAAATATCTGCATCTTCTCCCTCAGTCCCTGAATCCTTGGTATCACCGTTCTCTTCCAGTCGTTCCAGGTTAGCGGCTATCATTTTGCTGGACTGGGTTCCAATCAGTTTTGCAATTGCGGCACATAGGCAGTAGTCTGAGTAAACAAAGTAGTATCAGAAGTTAGACCTGTCTGGCCATAGCTGAAGGTCTAGTACTGAAGTGGATAATTACTTACCCTGCCACCAGCTGTGATGAATTCAATTTTTTTTCCTGAAGGACCAAAAACTTAATTAATCCTCAGAAGGAATCAAAGTCTGGTGCGAGTGTGTATGCAGCATTGGAATTAACAAGTTTGATTTGTCTTATACATCATCATATAAAAAGACAGATATCAGCAAACACCATAAGTGAAGGCTTTGCACAAGTATGTTAAGGAAATCATGACTAAAAGTGAGGAAAGTCTTACCATTGACTTTGCCAGGCTTCTGCCCCTAACGGTGATGAAATAACCATTCCTTTGGAAAGTGGCCCATGTCAGCATCAACTTCAACAGCATATTTCACAACCTAGTAAATTCTTAATCAGGAGTTTGGTATGCTACAAGGCTACTTCAGTAGAATGTAATTCAGTACATAGTGTTGTCCAATTAGACCCACCTCTTGGATACTACGGTGCAGTGCTTCACAACTCTCCCTAGGTAGATTGAAGCAATCTGTAATGGATGGATCCTTGACTGAAAAAAAAAAAACATATCAAATTTAATTGATGAAGGGCAGGCCTGGTGCAGTGGTGAGAGCTGTCTCTTTGAGTCACCAGGTCGTGGGTTCAAGCAGCCTCTCCAGATTTTTGCGGGGAAAGGCTTGTCTTGGTGTATCCTTCCCAGACCCCCACTCATGTGGGAGCCTCCGGCACTGGGTCTGCCCTTTATCAAATTTAATTGCTACATTTTATGCAAGCCACACCAACTGCTGTTGAATGTACGAATACCTGGTAAAGCACCTCGTCTGCAATCCAATTACCAATGCCTGATAGAAAGCTCTGCTCATTTTATAAAAACTGCAACAAGTCAAGTGTGTACATTGCAGGGAAAAGATTTTTGCATGGGAAAGATTGTATTGGTTGGATGCTGATCACCTGATCAAGTAAAAGAGCTTTTATCCCAATCTTCTTTCTACCCAGGGAGTCCAAGAAATTGTCGACAGACATTGGCTCAAACAGAGCATCTGGACCTAGCTCAGAAATTGGGGGTACAGTTTCAGGCTGCAAATATAACTTGGGTGAGAAAATCTGTACGAGAAACAGGCAAGAAATCTTCAGATTTTTAAACAGAACCTATGAAAAATACCTACATCGTCAAACAAACGGACTCTTGCAAAGCGCCGTTTATCAGTGAAAGAGAACTCCAAACCATCATCAAGCTATAAATCAAGCCAAAAGGTTAGAAATAACAAGGCTCAAAACCAACATCCCACGAGCCAAATTTTTCAAATTTACGCAAATGGGCTAGTATGAAACTGAACTGAGATTAATATTAAATGTGCCTTTCGCTCTTTGAACTGAACAACCATTAAAGCAGCCATCAGAGATGAAACTGAGATTAATCAACAATACAATTTGTTCCCCAAGTTTATTTCTATATCCTAATTAGCAAGTGGGGGGCATCCACACCCACTGTCCATGTGGTTTTGTTGAATGATTAGTTACTGGCTCATCTGAAGATGTATTTTTTACTAAGTTTACTGGAAGACATTTCTTGCTTTTTGACTGTTATTGTACTAATCAATAATAGTGTGCACGAACAAGGATTCAATGTAGATTTAAACTTGATAACTTGTAGTACTGGACATCACATTTTATCAGTATATACATACAATCCCAGTTGCAAAAGTAACATATAACCAACAAGAGCGTGAGTGCCACGCTAGAAAACAAAATTGATGCGACATTATGTTTGGGATCGTTACCTCAGCAAAGAATTTGGAGTATTTGGAGGGCCACTCCTCTTCGGAATTGACAACGGATCTGCAGCCTTGCGAAGAATTATTTCCTAGAAACCGATTGCTGAGCTCACAAAATTGCAAAGTATCAAAGCGGAAAAAGGTCACTTGCCTCTTATACTTCGTCACAGGAATGCCTTTGATATATATCGCGCCTGCCATCCCTGCAATCCAAAGCATGCTCTTATAACCCCTCACTTCCTTAGTATAAGACCCACGCAAAGTAGCAGAATTCATGCGATTGCTAAGGATAATTAAACCTGAATCACAACTAATCACGGTAATTTTCGACCAGATTCTTAGCAGCATAAACCAAAGGTGCCATTTCAACTACCAATTTTTGAATAACAACAATACACAAGGCAGCAACGCAGCACTAGCAGGGCACCGAAGCTATAGCAGTACCAAAGACTGGCCAACTTTAGAGGCCGCCACGTAGTAAGTAGTTCTTGCGGACTGACCGAACTGGAAGGACGGGAAGGGCGGCGCGTCGAGCTGGAGCCAGAGGTTCTTGCCCCTCCGGCGCGCGGCGACGATGGTCCGGCCGACCATGGCGCGCTCGAAGGCTGCGCGGCCGGCGGCGGCGACGACCACCTTGGCGTCGTCCGCCACGGCGCAGCGCGCGATGCGCCTCCCCACGCAGTGCGCCTGCAGCGCCCGCCGCGCCGCCTCCACCTCCGGCAGCTCCGGCATCCCCGCGCGTGAACTTCCCCCCTCTCCGTCTCTCTCTCCCTCTCTCGCTCGCTCGCTCGTCGTGGGTCGTGAAAGCCCTCCGTGTCTTCCTTCTTCTCCTTTCCCGGCCCGGTTATGTGAGACACAGCTATGAATTGTATACTTGGCAAGGAAGAAGAACAAGTATTGTACCCTAAGCGCTTCTAATACAAGAATGAATATTCGGTTCACTTCTTTGCTATCCCCTCTCGCTCACGGCACTTCGGCTCATATACACAGCTATGCTTGCCACATGGGCCCGAGCACCCTGAAGTTGGGCCGCGCCTGTCTCTTGGGCCTTGGCGAAGGAGGGCCAACGTCTGCCAGACCATCAGCGGCATCATCTGTAGAGGCATCAGGGGTGCTGCTGACAATCCCCCCTCCTTGAGTGTCGGCGTGTCCCCACGCCGGTGATCTGGGAAACTAGCGACGAAGCTCTTCAACTGACTCCTAGGTGGCCAGGGACACCGGCATGTGCGACCACTTGACAAGGACTAGATGAATTGGCCGCTCACCCGATGACCAACGCCACTGCAACAGCTTCTCAGGAACCTGAAATTCAGTCAGTGCAGATGGAATGGACGGACTCACTGGCTGGGAACCTGGAGACCGCTTGAGCAGGGAGACATGGAACACTGGATGTACAGCAGCAGACGCTGGCAAGTCTAGGTGATAGGCAACCTTTCCAACTCGTTTGAGGGTGCGAAAGGGGCCGAAGAACTTGAAAGACGACTTGTTGTTGGAGCGAGCAGCAACAGAGGACTGTACGTAAGGCTGAAGCTTAAGGAATACCCAATCACCAATATCGAAGGAACGCTCAGTGCGATGCTTGTCAGCCTGCCGTTTCATATGGTGCTGAGCGCGATGAAGGTGCTGCTGAACCAATCGCTGCATGAGATCTCTATCAGTCAGCCACTGTTGGAGTTCAGGAACCGGTGCTGCTGCAAAAAGATCCAGTTCCAAATGCCATGGTGGAAACCCATATAACACCTCTGAAAGGTCCTAATGGCTAGAGGGGGGTGAATAGCCTAATAAAATTTCTACAACAACACTTAACCAAATGGTTAGACAATTATGAGGCGAAGCGAGTGTTGCGCTAGCCTACTCAAAAATGCAAGCCACCTACCACAATTCTAGTTTAGATAGTGTCAATTCACACAAGAGCAATGACACTACCCTATGTTAGTGTGCTCTCAAAGGCTAACTAAAGAGCCACACCAACCAAGCATGCAAGCTCTCACAACTAGCTACACTAAAGAGCTTGTCAACTAGTTTTTGCGGTAAAGTAAAGAGAGTGATCAAGAGGGTTATACCTACCGTGTAGATGAATGAACCAATCAATCACGAAGATGAATAACAATGATGACCAATCACCTCGGAATCAAATGATGAACACAATGATTTTTACCGAGGTTCACTTGCTTGCCGGCAAGCTAGTCCTCGTTAATGGCGATTCACTCACTTGGAGGTTCACGCGCTAATTGGCATCACTCGCCAAACCCTCAATAGGGTGCCGCATAACCAACACAAGATGAGGATCACACAAGCCACAAGCAATTTACTAGAGTACCTTTTGGCGCTCACGGGAAAGGTCAAGAACCCTCACAATCACCACGATCGGAGTCGGAGACAATCACCTCCTCCACTCAACGATCCTTGCTGCTCCAAGCCGTCTAGGTGGCGGCAACCACCAAGAGTAACAAGCGAAATCATGAAGCGAAACACAATCACCAAGTGCCTCTAGATGCAATCACTCAAGCAATGCACTTGGATTCACTCCCAATCTCACTATGATGATGAATCAATGATGTAGATGAGTGGGAGTCCTTTGGCTAGGCTCACAAGCTTGCTATGTCAATGAAAATGTGCAAGGATTGTCCCTTGAGCCGCCATGGGGCTATAAATAGAGCCCCCATCAAATAGAGCCGTTATACCCCTTCTTTGGGCAAACGCTGTTTCGACCGGACGCTTCGGTCAGACCGACCGGACGGCCGGCTCTCGGCGTCGGTCGCTCGATGTCGACCACGTGTCCAGACTCAGCGGTCATCGCCTCGACCGGATATTGCTCCTTGAATCGGACCGGACGCTGAAGCCTCGGCGTCCGGTCGTTCAAGAAGCTCCCGAGGCATGTTTCTTCGACCGGACGCGTCGGTCCACCTTGACCGGGACGCAGACCAGCGTCCGGTGCTCAACCCTTCCCATCAGTGCATTGAAGTCAGTGACCGGACGCTTGACGTCGGCGTCCGGTGCTTACGGATTCAGCGTCCGGTCACAGGACCGACGCCAAACATTATTTCGACCAACTCCATTTCAACTCTAACTTCCTCACCCTTGCTCAAATGTGCCAACCACCAAGAATTTTGTATCCGGCGCAATAGAAAATAGACATTTCATTTTTCCAAAGCGTTGAATCCGCCTCATAAGCTCGGCGGGAGGGAGAGAGGACCCAAAACCCATCTCAACCCCTGCAAACACCTTGTGCACATGTGTTAGCATATTTTCACAAATATTTTCAAGGGTGTTAGCATTCCACTAGATCCTAAATGCATATGCAATGAGTTAGAGCATCTAGTGGCACTTTGATAACCGCATTTCGATCTGAGTTACACTCCTCTTAATAGTACGGCTATCTATCCTAAATGTGATCACACTCACTAAGTGTCTTGATCACTAAAACAAAATGGCTCCTACATTTTATACCTTTGCCTTGAGCCTTTTGTTTTCTCTTTCTTCTTTTCCAAGTTCAAGCATTTGATCATCACCATGCTATCACCATTATCATGATCTTCGTCATTGCTTCATCACTTGGAGTAGTGCTACCTATCTCATAATCATCTTGATAAACTAGGTTAGCACTTAGGGTTTCATCAATTCACCAAAACCAAACTAGAGCTTTCAATCTCCCCCTTTTTGGTAATTGATGACAACCCTTATACAAAGATATGAATTGAAATTCAATTGAATCCATGTTGCTTGCCCAAGCATAATTACCATGTGTAAAAGGATATGGACAAGTTTCATGAACCCTAAGTGGTAGTAATTGCTCCCCCTACATATGTGCTAAGAGTTTGGATTGAAGCTTGCACATATGCTTAGATAGGAAATGTAGGAGTCAATGTCTACCATATGATGCTAAGGTATAAAAGATGGACCTTTGAAGCGTGATACCAATCGGAGTGCACCAATATACCATCCTTAGCATCATGGTTAGCTCAATACCACTTAGAAATATTTGGAAGTGAAATCACTAGATATCCTATGCATGCTAGTTTGCATTTCATCATTCAAATCTACAACTAGCATACATCACACAAACATGGATATTAAAATTTAACACTTGTGCCATGCAAGCAAACATATGTAATGCACATTCAAATGCACCATACAAGTTCATGAGCTTGCTCCCCCTACTTGTGTGCTCAAAATATTAGGTTTTAATTGATCCCATTCCTTTATCATATCTCTCCCCCTATGTTAAGTACTCCCCTATCACTCATATCTTTGTTTCTCTCCCCCTTTGTCATCAATGACCACAAATACTTAAATTATAGATAGGTTGGGATTATCAATGTCAATCAATGGGGTGAGGATCATTTTGAAAATTTGGTTCAAACTAGAATATTTGCCAAAGATATTCAACTCGGTTTGATCCAAGGACAAGCTTCTTCACACCTTCAACTAAGGGTTATCTTGTACCATGTTGAGTTAAACACTTATAGTTCATTTTCTAGATTAAACACTAGGTTTACAAGCCCACAAACATGTCATATGCCATCACTAGATCAAGTCAAGCATAGAAGCAATAGTGATACCATATTGACATCAAAATTCATTTGATTTTCATTAATGAGCCTAATAAGATAGAACCACTTGCAAGGTCCTAATGAGATTGAAAATATGACTAGATGCACTAATCATGTCCTTAGCAAGAATGTATGTCATGCCAATCAACTTTTACCTTAGATTGCTCGAAGGAGAGGCATGTCATATGAGTGGGGGTTGCATCAACACATATTTGAGAAATCCAATATGTTCAACTCATTCCTTAGCTTGCAAAACCTTTTCTCATCCAATGGCTTGGTGAATATATCGGCAAGTTGATCTTCGGTGCCTACACTCTCAATGCAAATGTCCCCCTTTTTGTTGGTGATCTCTTATGAAATGGTGGCGGACATCAATGTGCTTTGTTCTTGCATGTTGCACCGGATTGTTGGTTAGCTTGATTGCACTCTCATTGTCACATAGCAATGGCACTTTCTTGAACTTGATTCCAAAATCACTCAAAGTGGCCTTCATCCAAAGTATTTGTGCACAACAACTACCGGCGGATATGTATTCGGCTTCGGCGGTTGATAATGCAACACTATTTTGCTTCTTTGATGACCATGAAACAAGTGATCTTCCCAACAATTGACATGTGCCCGATGTGCTCTTCCTTTCAACCTTGCATCCCGCATAATCCGAGTCGGAGTAACCAACTAGCTCAAACTTTGCTCCTTTGGGATACCACAAACCAACATTTGGTGTATGCTTCAAGTACCTCAATATCCTCTTTGTAGCCTTCAAATGACTTTCTCTTGGTGAGGCTTGAAATCTTGCACACATGCATACACTAAACATGACATCCGGCCTTGATGCGGTCACATAGAGTAGGCTTCCAATCATAGACCGATACAACTTTTGATCCACCATGTTTCCACTTGCATCACTATCCAAGTTACCATTTGTTCCCATAGGTGTGCTAATGACTTTGCTATCACTCATGCCAAACTTCTTGATCATGTCCTTGATGTACTTCCCTTGACTCACAAAAGTACCATTCTTCAATTGCTTGATTTGAAGACCAAGGAAGTAACTCAACTCTCCAATCATGGACATTTCAAACTCATTAGCCATCATCTTTCCAAACTCATCACAAAAATCTTGATTGGTTGATCCAAATATGATATCATCAACATAGATTTGCAATACAAATAGATCTT